TTTAGAGATTTTGATATCAAGTACAAGTCTACTTGGTAAAGTAAAAACGGTTTTATTTAAGAAAACGTTACTTTTTTAGTAAGGAATTCTTTTCATTGACGTTACACAACTTGGTCGGATACTTATGGTATTAGTATCCATGTCAAGATTTTCAGTAGATCTTGGCGTAATATGGTAAGTTTTGGCCGAGATTAAAATCAACAAGCGCATTAAGATGGTTTTGGGTAACCCACAACAAAATTACAAGATTTGATTTCATTTTTTTTTTAAAAAATATGACAGGAGCATCAAAAGAAGTGACAGTACAACAGCAACTTACACCGCTCGGTAATGCAGTAGCTGGCTCTTTGGGAGCTTTGTTAGCTCTGGCTATAACATATCCTTTGGATATGTAAGTGTTTCATAGTTGTAGTAATTGTCAATTTTTTTTCGTATAACCGTATCTATATACGAATTATATTATTCTTAGTATAAAAACAAGACTCCAAGTACAATCAAAAAATATATCAAGGGCACTATCACATCATGAATATTACGATTCAACATTAGATGCAATAATAAAAATCACATCGAAAGAAGGAATATTTGGATTGTATGCAGGTTTGCCAGCCGGGTTGATTGGAGTAGCATCAACTAATTTTGCATATTTCTACTGGTATTCATTCCTACGTACAAAGTATCAAGTAGCTAAAGGCACCACATCATTATCAACAATGTCCGAGTTATTAGTGGGAGCATTAGCAGGAGCCTTGGCACAAATTTTCACAATACCAGTTTCGGTTATAACTACTAGACAACAAACCACCAATTCCAAAGAACGTAAAGATCTGATAGGAACAGCCAAAGAAATAATTGGCGAGGACGGTGTCAGGGGACTATGGAAAGGATTGAAACCATCATTAATTTTGTGTGTTAACCCAGCGATAACTTATGGAGCTTTTGAAAGATTTAAAGATATACTATCGAAACGATTGAATACTAGTACTTTATCACCTGGTATTGTTTTTTGGTTGGGGGCCCTTAGTAAGACTATTGCTACCATCGTAACCTATCCTTACATTATGGCAAAAGTAAGGCTACAATGGAGACCACCCAAGCAGCAGCAGCAGCAACAACAACAACAACAACAACAACAATTAATGGTTGAAGATGATGATTATGATAAGATAGAAGTCGATGATGAAAGAAATTCATTATTTAATAATAATGGTGATGGTAATGGTAATGGTAATAATAGGCATAAAAGAATTGATTATAATATTGTGAAATATAATGGAGCAATTGATGTATTAAAAAAAGTATTAGAAACTGATGGCATCTTGGGTTGGTACAGGGTAAGAATAATTACATTAACTATTATATTATTATTATCATTATTAACGTAATTAATGATTTGTTTAATAAAAAATTTTAGGGAATGCAAGCTCAAATTTCAAAAGCTGTTTTATCACAAGCTTTATTATTTTATGTCAAAGAGTATACTACAAGATATACAATATTATTATTTGCGTTAATTTCCAGATTAATAGCAAAACGAAGAAGTATAAAAAATTAATTTTTTATTTTTTTTTAGATGATAATTTTTTTTGGAATTAATTTATCTATTACAAGTGTGAATAAAATTTTGCCTTGTAACTTTTTAATAATCGTGGGTACCTTTGTATTTTTTATCAAAATTGGATTTTATTTATGTCTTAGTACATGTTTGAAATTAATAGTTTACTTTAATTCATAAATTAAAAATAATAAAATATATCTTTATTATTTTCTTATTAAAATATGATATATATATATATATAAATAACCAACTAATGAATGATGTGAGTGTATGTGAGAGATAAGATTGGAAAAATAAAAATATTACACAATTACACACGTTATTATTAAGTAAATAAATAAAATTTTTAAGTATTCTTTCATTCGTTAACGATTATTCACCACCAATTCCAAAAACTAAATTTTTTTTAAATATGTATAAATAAATATTTATTAACACGAATAATAACAACAAATGGCTTTAATATTAATTACCTGTTCATAACTAATCATTATCCAACCGTCATTATCAGTATCGAAACGTCGAAAAGAGTCTGTAAGTGTCTTGATGGTAACGCAAGATTGCTACAACAACGACAACAATAATAATATAATTTTTAAAATAAAAATAAAATAAAATTCATTATTTTAAATATATAGAATTAACCTACCACGAAATTGTCAAAAGTTACATCTCCCTTTCCTGTTGTGCCAGCTTTTAAATCAGTTAATAATCCATAATAATTTTTTTTATGCATGTTAAATGGGGGGACACCTCATACACAAACACTTAATTTTTTTTGAAATTACTATTTCTAACTTTTTTTTTCATTTACGTATTTCATTTTTATTGCTCATTCTTTCAAAATAACTATCACTTTCCCACAATAAATCAATAAATAAAGATATATATATATATAAAAGAAACATACCACGTTTGTCATATTTCTTTATCAAGAGGCTAATGAATTGATCACTCAAATTATATCCAAAAGTTTTCAAGGCAGTTTTCAATTCGGTAAAATTGATAGTACCGGAACCATCGGTATCAAATCTTTGAAAACATTTCTTCCAATCTTCAATATAACGCCAAAGACCAGCGAACTCGGGAAAATTAATCGTACCAGTATTATCTACAATATTACATATATAAATTGTAAAAACGTGGTATAATAAATAAAATGTAAATATATTCATTATAATTATAAAAATGTAAAAATGCGCACATACCAGTATCAAACATATTCATCATTAAACGAACAGTCTCGATATTAAAAGGACTCCAATCACCTAATCATCATCACAACAATCATCATTATTATTTAAATAAATAATAAAAGTAATAGTAGTAATAATTAGTTATATTTCAGATATTTATTTGTACCATTGATTAAAGCTTTCTGTAATTCTTCGGTGGTCAAAGAACCACTACCATCAGTATCAACTGCTTTAAACCAAAAAAAGAGTTGGGGGTCTGCTCCTGGTGGAGGAACACTAGATTGACCTATATAGAAATCGAAATACCAAATTAGTGAAATAGTGAATTAATAATCAGTCAACCAATTAATCAAATGCTCACTTTGAGGTGGTGGATGATATTGTTGTTGTTGCCCCCCTCCATAAACTTGTTGTTGACCATAAGTGTTAGGTGGTGGAGCTGAGTAACTTTGTTGACTATTTGGTGGAGGTCTTCCATACTGTCCTTGATTATACTGTGACATTGTTTAACCTGTCGTTTTATGTAATAGTTGTTGTTAAAAGAGCAATAAATACTAGTACCAGTCAGTCCTTACAAAAAATTAACTATAAACAAATGACTAACTAAATATTTATTTTCTTTTGTGACCCAAAAATTTTTTTCAGAGATGATCGACAAAATTTTAGTCAGTTACCAAAAATACATTTTAATGACTTTAATTTTACTATCAAGCTTCAAAAAAAACATTAATTTAACTTGTTAATATTTCACCTACAGTCATACCTCTTTTATATCCCCACCCATTTATATCCCCTCTTAATCTCCTCGTTTATATCCCACATCTCGACAGTTAAAAATGTCTTTATTTCTATATATTCTATACACTCAGTTATATCCCTACAAAATTTGAAAAACATATGAAAAAAAGGGAGAGGCGTGACTGTAATATAAAAACATGAATGCCATTCATTGAATATATTCGGAACATGCAAAAAAAAAACCGATTGATAGCATAAATTAACAGTATGGTTGAAAGTGACCACACCATTTATGGAAAAATCATACTCGAGTGGTGTTACAAGGAGATTTATTTATCTAATTATACGCGATTAAAATGAAAATTGCTTTGGCGAATATTAATTTTATTTCTCTCTCTGTTTCTCAGTTAAGGAGGACAAGCCAGGGCAAATTTTTTAAATTTCATAGGTAATCTTTCTTTCCTTAGATAAGCTTCCAGTGTCTGAGTATCATTCATTTTGAAAATGTAAGGAGCAATTTTTTCACCTTGTTCTTTCTTCAGAATACTTCTAATAGTGCTGTAATTTTTGGGTTCCATGGTAGACCTAATGTAAATTAACTTCATATTAACTATTTTTATATAGGGGGATAGTTCTATATATCACTTAACAAATGAGACATTATAAAACTGTTAATTATGATCACATTACAAATGACTAAATTTTGATCCCTGAAATTCTTGGTTATACCAATGTTCACTTTGTCTGATTTTGTTGCAGCATGCCCCATATATGAAATAGAGTTGCCTTCCAAAACTAAAAACCTTTTAAAATTGCTTTAGAAATGGTTTAGGAATTGCTGGCTCAAGTATGAAAGCCGTCCCATTCATTTATCAAGAGAGGGCACAAACCTGGATTTTTCATTCAACCTTTTATAATGTTTCAACAAATGAATTCTTGATTACTATCCTCATTCAAATTTTTACATATTTTTTTAATATAGCTAAAAAAAAATATCATTTTATTATTAATATTTAATGTAAGAAAGCATCAAAATCAATCTGATGCAACGTTAATCTCTATTTCAGGATTTTTTTTTTAATGTCTTTTTGGTGATTTTATCTATAAAAGGGAATTTTCATGATGTGACCATGCTGGAAAGGGAAGAGAGAAGTCAATGTTGTATGTTGATGTTGATGTTAAGGAGATGTTGAAAATCAACTTTTGTTAAATTTGATTTTTGGGAGAAATTTTCTATTTTTTTTTTTTTGTGTAAAATTGACTTGGAGATCAATGAATGTTTCTACTTTCAATGACACCTGATAGCCTTCCATTTTTTATCTTGTCAGCCTTTTAACTCGTGCTTGATTTTCTCTGCTATCTTCTTCCATGTTGAAACCAACATGAATTAGTAATTATTTACAAGAATAAGAAAAAACCAATATATATCTTTTTTTTGTCATGAAGACAAAAAATGCGTTATTGTTTATTATATTGAGATAAAATCATTAATGAATCAAAAGAATCTTAGCAAACAAAACCATTCTTTTTTTGATGTGGCTTACATCACCTTTCTAAAACTTGTAATAAAATTTAAAGGTTTTAAATCATATTCAACATTATCAATATAGATTGACACTTTCAAAGAATTCCAACCAAAAAAGATCTCATCAACAAAGTGAAGACAAGTCTAAAGGGAGAAAAATAAATCTTTTTGAATTTATACTTTTGGCTAATTACTCTATAATTATCTATCCTATATGGAGGATATTGAATAATTAAATGGACAAGAAAAATAAATTTTGGTATATAATTATGGTGTTAAATTTTTTGTTACATTTGTCTGGTTCTGTTGCCATATAATTGATTTTTCAAAAGTAAGTGATTGTGGTTCATCATTGTTACAAAGAATGAATTTTGCAGAATTGTATGGATCATTTCCAAGCCAGAGCAAAACACCTTTTTAATGGCATTAAAAAGAAAACTTGTATCAATAACAGAGCCTTCTACTGTTGAAATCATAACACACTTTTTCTGGCAGAAAACCTATCTCAATATGTCAAAAATTGGTATGGCTTATTTCAGAAATCATTCAAAAATGATAGTTCATATGACTGCAGCAAAAGATTTTCTTTTAAATTATGCAGAGGTTCATATTTGCTTTGTTGCAGTATACTAATACTAAACACTATGCCAAAAAATAAGTTTATAATTTATTGGTAACTTTTTTTAAAAAATAAATAAAAATAAATGACAAGCACTTTCATTTATTTATTTATACAATCCAAAGCTTTTAAGTGATTTAAATAATCTTTACGAAAACTGTTGTCATCAACCGGACCTATAAATACCAATATATATATATATATATACACACACACACACAAGTAAATATGAATTAATGATTCTTTTTTTGTGAAAATGAATGAAATAACTTACGATTAAGTGCTACCCGTATTGGTTCCTTGTGATATTAATATTAGATTATAAATTGTTGTTAAATTATTTGATTATATATTTTTTTAATCATTTGTAATATTAATGAAAATATTACCTTTTTAAATAAACCTAAAAACATATTATTAATAATTAAATAAACATTAGTAAATATTATTTTAATAACCATAAATGATAATAAAATACTTACGCATAGCCTTCATGTAATCATTGGTGTCAGGTGTGAAACGATGATAAATTCCCGGAGGCTTTCATATAAAATGAATGAATTAATTTATTAATCACATATATATATATATGTTCTTAGATAGTATATTGTAATTTATTAATTACAAAAACAATCAAATCTCCTTTAGTAAGTGCCATGCGAATCCATTTGTCGTGCAAATCTAAATCAAGTTCAAGTAAACATAAATATTTGTAATTATGTAAAAAAAGATATTTCCACATTTCAAAGATACATACCTCGAACATCAACATATCCAGAACCATCAAGAATATAACGAATTTCTTCACCTTCATGAAAATGTCTAATTTAACAACAACAACATAATAATTATAATTAGTATTTATTTATAAAATAATACAAAGTAAAGAAAATTATTAACTATTTCATTTACTTACTCTTCATAAAAAACTTTCATTTTACTATCATACAAATCACCCATTGCTTCTCTTGAGAATGTAATCTATATATTTATATATATATATATATATATATATTAATAATAAAAGGATTTCTCCTCCCAAAAAATAATTCAAAATCGTTACTTCATCATGACTTTTATAATTGGATATTTTTTTAATTTTATCAAGAAAATCCTCTCCTTCTATATACGAGTATAAAATACCAATATGTGCAAGTTCTTCAATGGTAACAATGGCAAGTGGACTTTTTTCATGAGGTTTTTTTGGGTCTGAACAATCATTGTTATCATGATAATAAGCATACATTTTTATCGAAAATTTTATAACAGTTGGTCAGTGCATAATAATAACATTTTAAATTCGTAGTCCACCGATCAATGATAGGGGATCGTCATTAATAAAATTAATCGAATGACATATTGTCCCTTAAATATATATAGGTAGATCATCGCAGCCGCTAAACAATTTTTTTTTTTCAAAAATTTTTTGATTATATAATTATGTCATTTTGATATGTAGCACAACTGGTTTTATCCTATTTTTTTTGTTTACTATTGTCATGATGATCATTATGGTTTTAGGGATAGAATTCGGTTATACAGTAACATCATACATAAAATTTTACGATTGCAATTACATGTTTGTATACAAATTCTGATTAGCCAATTATCTCGTCCAACCTTTAAAAAATTAAAACATCTGTGCAATGTCATCAAAGGTTATAAATACAGAAATACGAATAATAATAGTAAAGATAATAAAATCACATTATCAGATTGGGTAACTAAAGTTTCTTATTGATGTGTGATTGTAATTATTAAATGTTTATTACTATTCGCTGGAAAGAAAAGGCGGTGATCTGTTGGCCCGAACAGTCTAATTTGATGAGGGGGTATTTGTTTATTTGAATTGTTTATTGACATTCAAAATAACCAATGATAATAAAAAAAACAACATTATAGTATATAGCAGTGGATACATAAATTATATAGAAAATGATAAAATTTTTTTATTTTGCCATTGTAGGACAGCGGTAGGGACATTTTATTTTTCACGCACAACATAAGACATAACATCTAAATAGATATCCATTAGTAGTGAAAGTATAATAACAAAGCGCGCAGCAAAATGTTTAAACAAAGTTAACAAAATATTCTCATTCGAAGATCATCCTCCAAAGCAACTACCCTAAAAAATACCTTACCATCCTCCCAAAGAAACTGTCCTTCAAATTTGTGTCAATTTGAAATTTACCAATTAAATTTGGGATGCTAGAAAAGGACGGGGGACGGGCAGGTGTGGCTTGAACCCGTCCCCCGTCCTTTTCACGTTTGGCCCTTTAATACTAGAA